TTTTAGTTAACATGTTCAGGATCATGGAGCTAGTAAATGATACATCTGAGACTTGCATCAGTTCACTTGGACTTTAAATCCTTGCTTTTAACCCATCCTCTATTCCAATTAACACCACCTACTTTCAATCATCAAAAAGTATTCCCCAAGTTACTACATTCCTCTTCTTGTTTCAGAGAAGACAGACAACTTCCACTAGAACAGCTGCATTGGAAACAGGTTCATTCTATCATTACGTTCGCTTCTCACAACACACTCCATCACATTCTTCCTAAGAAACTATTGTATAAATGAAGGTTAAATTCTCAGGCCAACCTTCAAAAGCTTAACTATCATTGAAAATAATATTTCAAGGAAAATGTCTGCTGAATTATAACAAGACAACAGGACATCATCTTCTGTCATATCCTTCAAAAATGTACTTCAAATACCAAAAGTAACATGAAATTCCTTTCTTGTATTCCTTCAGCACACAACCAGGAATGATTTCACATGTCCTAGTTCCCAGCATGAGCTCCATTAGGAAATGTGATTTAAACCACGCCAGTTCCCAAGAAAGGTAGGGACAAAGCCAAGAGAAGAAAACGATAAGGTAAGAAAGTAATAACTTACTCATACATGTATTGAAGTCTGAAGCTCAAAAAGGACTCTACTATGAAAACTATTACTGTTATAGTTCAGTACCAAAAAAGTTGTGTGAACTAGGCTGGAAACTTAACTACCATATTGCATTTGCACACAGATTTAGAATACAATGCACTTAGAAATTGGAATCTACAGTACCTGTATTCACTAATACTCTCTATAATTAGCTACCCTTTCCAAATTTTCTGAAAACTAAAAGCCTAATATTTTAGGAGGAGAGAGAAGTAACTGAATACGCACAAAAATAGCTTTGTACATGAAGCACCCAAATCAGTGGAAATATACATTAGATGTTTGGGGATTATAACACCAAACTCATACCTCCAAGATACTTCAATATTCCTCTCTATTTAGATCAAGAGTTTAAGACTATGTTCAAATATTTGGAATTGTGAAACTTGTTTTCTTCTTTTTATGCCAGAGATTTTAAAAATGGTTTTAAACAGTTTTTTAAATGGGATACACATAGACATATTTTGCTGTGCTAATTTGATCAGTAAAACAGACATACTCTTATATTACGATGATGAACAAGTAAATTCATCAAAAGTGTTTCGAGTGCAATTTAGCAATAATCATCAAGAGTCATTAATATGTTCATAGCTTTTGACTCAGTAATTCAAATTGTTAAGAATTTATTCTAACGAAATAATCAGAGATTCATTTATTTAACAAAATATCATGGACTGACATTGTGCTAAGCATTATTCTTATGAATACTGATGTTTATTACATTATTTTTAACATTAAAAAGTTGGGAAAAAAAACTAACTGCCCAATAATAGTAAGATAGTACATTAAAATTTAATAGTAAATTAAAATACATCCAAGATAAAATATAGCACTAGACACTGTATTACCAAAAAATATTTAATAACGTAATACTCATGTTGAACAAAACAAAAAGATACAAAACTATGTGTAACTACATGTAACTTTATATAACTATATGTATGATCTCAAATTTGTACTTGAGGTCTTATTTCCTGGCGACCTTGTTCAAATCACTTAGTGTCTTCATTTGTAAAATGAAGATTTCACATTTTACATGTAAAATAAATAGTTTATATTTCAATAACTCAATGGATTTTTAAAAGAGTTATTTGCAAAGTGCTCATAATACTCCCCCAGTACATATAAAATATTATTATTATTGGCTGTTGTTACTTTACATATATACATATGCAAAGAAAAAATGGAAAGAATATATCAAAACATTATCAGAGATCTTGAATTCTAACAACACTAATTCTGAGAGAATCAGGAAATCCGAACACTAATTGCATATTAAAAGACATTTAAAATTATTTTATAAGGTGTGGTGGTATTTTTTAAAAAGTCCTTATATCATAATGAAGTCCTTATGAATAAAATATCATAATTAAGATTTGTGTTAAAATGCTTCGGTGGGAGGCTTATGTGGGGAGATTCTTTTCAAACATTTTTAATGTTATCAAGAGGGAAATTTCCTGTGGGTAATGGAATTATTACTAGCTTTTATTTTCTTTATATTTTGCTATCTTCCAAATTTTCTATAGTGATTTGAAATTATTTTTGAAATGAGAAAAAAAGTTTTCAAACAACTTTAAGAAAATCCTTACCAATACTCCATCCACAGATGAAACTTTCTCCCAAGTTAACCAAGCTCTTTCTCTGACATGATCTGGTAACTTTAATTTCTGACATAATGCAGTAAAATCTGGTTCTTCAGTTTCTTCAAACTCAAGCCTACCAAATGAAAATAATCATATAATAGGCACACACTTATAAGTCAAACTTATTAAGTAAACATTTGTTTCAATAGTTTGCACATAATAGCACTATTCTGAAAGAGATTATTAATTACTAAGTACTTCAAGATCTTATCTAGGAAAAAAATACACTTAGAATTTAAATATATGTTTATCTTTTCCAAGGTATTTCCAAAATAAAGATACCACACAGTGAGAAATATTTGCTGGCATAGTGAGTCAAATACACTTCAGAGCAGCAAAACAGCTCTGTGAAGTACAATAGTTAAAGTTGTTTGGGAAAATGTGATAATAATAATAATAAAAGCCCATAAATAATACTGCACAATCAATTCAATGCCAGTGACTTTGCTAAACTGTGGTCTACTCTTATCAGTGTTGCATATAATCTCTCTACCTACTAGCATTTCTTACATGATGATTACCTTGATATAAATTATTGCATTGCTTATTTTAGCCCTTTCTCCTTAACCAAGATAGGCATTCAATAAATTCTTGTACGCTAATTCCTTTTTATTCATCTAATGTCTATTTGTCATCTAATAATAACAGTATAAGGAACAATTAATAATTTTTGAGTATTTACTATGACCCTGTACAGAGTACCTTAGATGTATGGTTTCACTGGATTCCCATATCACCCCTATTAGGTAAATATTCTCATCTGTAAAAGCAGACATTTACAAATGCCTACCAAATCAGTAGGTTAAAGCACTCACCTGAGGTCACAGCCAGTAAGAGGTGAACCATGATGTGAACCAAATCCACACCCTTGACCACTATTCTAGACTGCCAATTCCTCCTTCAAAACATGATTAACTTTTTTTTTTTTTTTTTTTTGATACAGGGTCTCTCTATGTTGCCCAGGCTGGTCTTGAACTCCTGGGCTCAAGTGATCCTCCCACCTCAGCTCCCTGAGTAGCTGTGACTAGTGTCACCATGGATCAAAACTTGATTAACTTTTGATTATTTCAACAACGAAGGTAGTATGCTATTCCTAGTAACAGTTTCCCTTCCAGTTTCATATAGGCCAGAGACAATGCAACAGAAATAAGATCTCAACTCTCAAGGCAGAAATGGACTCTGTCACTGGAAGTGCAGTTGGACTGGGCCCTGATTCCATCCCCAAGCAAGTGTCTCAGCCTCAGACTGCCAGGCACTGGTTCTACGGTTGCTAAGTAGTTAATTTATAGAGTTGGATTATCCATGTTAATGAAATGCCTTGCGGGTATGGATAATCAAGAACAGACTGTATCTTGTAAGGTTTTGACTTAACAGAATTTTTGATAGTTCCAATATTCAAAAATATATAAAACGATGTGTTAAAAAGTCCTATTTTCCCAGACAATGGCTTCAGTATTCCTGGTTACCCTACAATAATCAAGAATGTTTTCAAAGCTGTGTGTATAACATTGAATTCTTTAGAGTACTGCTCTTTCCAAAGGGTAACTTTCAAGTATTGGATACATCAGAATTCAATCAGAAACTGAAGTGGTGTCTTCTTCCAGAACATCCCCAGATGTAGTTTTTTTTTTTTTTTTTACAATTATGATTTTTAATTGACGTATAAGATAGTCCATTTAAATATATGAATTTTTAACAGCCTTCCACAGGCCATTTCCAAAATCCTATTGCAATCTTTCACAATTTTTCCTGAATTGTTAGTGTCTGGTGAGTGGAAAGAAATGGGTGAGGGTAAAATGGGCTTGGTGAAGTAATAGAATGGGGCAAAAAGTAATGAGAGACAGAAACGAGTCTCATTCCCCTGCAATGGATCTGTAGTCTCAAAGTAAAACCAGTGCCGAAGATAATGACAATTACACTCTTTCCATCTTAGCTACTTAACTATAAAGTAGTACAATCAAGAAAAATAAGATGTTGCAATACAATAAATATCTCCCTGTCTTTTTCTACTGCATCCACACAGACTTGCATAAATTCAGATTTACTTAGCAAGGAAAAAAAAAGCTCCATGTGATATAGAACACCACTAATTTTGTACCAAAAACAAAATCAAAAAGAGTGGACACCAGGATCCTTGCTGGATCAATCAAAAGGCAAAATGGAAGAAATAATGAGGCCGCCTAACACAGAAGAAGGGTCCTATCCAACAGGAAAAGAAAAGAAAAAGAAAGGTTTAGAAACTTTCAAGCACTTCTGCTAAAGTCTCATGAAACTTTTGCCCATATACCAGTTCCTCTAAAGAGTTATGCTCCACCAGTCACTACAGATGGCTTTGAGTCCCCAAGGCCTGAAAGCATTGTTGTAAGGGAACTCCACAAAGCTCCTCAGCGGAGCACCCCGTGGGCAACTGATACTCAGGACCCCGCATTTCAGTCCAAGGCTTTTCTGGTTGGCCTCTCCCAGAACTGGGTTTCACATCGCAGTGCACGCCCAGAGGAAAGAAAATACTGCCAACTGTTGCATCGCAGGAGACCAAAACAGAAAGTCAAACGACCACCAGCGTACTTCAGATCTCACCCGGTCAAAAACTCTCCAACAGACAGCAGTCATTTTTGTATTTTTAGTTTTATTTTCTGCGTTTGATGGAGGCTCCCAATTACCCGCCGCCTCCAAGCCTCGGTCTGGAAAGAGGAAAGACTGCACCTGTCACTTCGCTCAGGGATCTGAGACCCACCCGCCCGACACCTGTCAAGCTGGAGCCGAGACCCCCTCCCAGTTTCTCTTTCCTCACTCGCGAACTCAGAACCCTGTCACCGTCCTGCAGACGCTCCGCAGTGGGGGATGGGGGGAAGGGAGCCGCCGGGACCGGCTCCCCGCGACGATGCGCCCCCGCCTAGAAGCCGCGGCGTCTGCCCGCGGCACCCTCGGGGCACCGTTTCCGCGTGCGGGCCGCGGCGGCGGGCGGCTTTGCGCGCTCACCTGGCCAGAGGCAGGTCCTCGGGGCCACTGTCCTGCTCCGGGTCCTCCTCAGGAGGGGGCGGCGGCGGCGCCGGGGGTTCGGCGGCGGCTGCGGCAGTGGCCGCTCTTCGGGGGGTTTTGGGCGGCATGACGCCTTCCCAGGGCAGGAGCCAGAGAGCGATGGTGCAGCGCCGGGGAGAGCGACGCGCGCGCACGTCGGGGCACGCCCCGTCCTCTCCCGACTCCCGTTACAAAAATAATTTGAACGTCCCCTGAGAAAAACTGGACGCGCCCTCCCCCGCCCGGCAACCGAGCGCCGCGTCCAACCGCGGGAAAACGTCACTTCCGCCCGCGGCGTCACGTCCGCGATGCTCCCGGGCCCGCTGGCGTCTGGTGGGAACCGAGGCGCCGGGCGGCGCGCGGGACGGGGCGCCAGGGCTCGGGGTTGGGGCGGGCAGGCCGGGCATGGATCCAGGTTCCTTACCGCAGGCAACCGCCGCTGCCCGGACATGTTTCTACCCGAAAGTCGCCGCCTCCAGGCCGGGGTACCCGTAACGGGGCCATACAAAGAGCCTGCTGGGTGACAGTGGGCCCACGCCTGTATCTGGGGGGGTGATGCGCCCTGCCCTTCGGGCCCCGCCGGGAATATCGGGCGAGGGCACCCTGGCGGGCACGCCCCTCTCCCTCCGCGGGCGGCGTCCGCCGTCTGCACCAGACTCCTCCTCCCCAATCCGTTAAGCAAACGGCCAAAACAAAAACAAACATGAAAAGCTAGTAGGTGCCGAACTTTGCCAGTCACTAGGAGATACAAAACTTAGGGCAATTACTGGCCTTTTCAGGATGACTGGTTAGGGAAGGGGGACTGTGGGCAATGAACCGATTATAATACAATGGAAAGTATCAGTAGTGGTGACAGGAGATACCATCGAAAAATCTAAGAGATTTTCCAAGGAGCAGTAGCAGTTGAATAGAAGTTTGCCAGGCCGACCTAACATTTAAGGAGGGCTTACTATGTACCAGGAAATGTGCTGTCCACCTTGCATAATTGTCTTATTTAATCCTCAGAAACAACCTTTTAAAATGGATGTTAATAGTATTAGCATTCCATGTTGTAGATAGGGAAACAGGCTCGGAAGAGTTAATTGATTTGCCCAATATCACGGGGCCGATGGGGTAGCCTAGGATGTGAACCGAAGAATATTTGACTCCATCTCTCCATTGCATTATGTTGGTGAAGAGAATGGCAAGAGAGAGGCAGCATGTACAAAGGCAGAGAGACATCAGAAAAGAGCTTGCTGGGACTACCACCATCAAACGTTGCTTAGAAGCTGTGTATCCTACCTTTTTGTATTTATATTAATACATTGTCTAGTTGGAGTACATGTTTTTCTCTCCTTGGCAGACACTGTTGATTGCCCCACTTAGCATTCCCCAGCTGAGGTACTGTGAGTTAAATACAATTGTGTTCTGGTGTAGATCCCTTTATCCTGGAACAGCTGAGCGGGCTCTGAGGCAGCAGGAACCTTCAAGCAAATCATGGCTGCAAGCCTCCTGGGTCGCAAGTTGTACAATGGCTTAGCATTTTCTCTCTATATGATGACATATGCCAGGATGTGTAAAGGCTTGACAAGTCCTGGCTTGCTCAACAGCCAGTCCCTCCTAACTTCAAAAACACCCTCTTGGGAGCCAAATATTTGTCAGGCGGTAGGGCCCAGGCTCAGGGCCAGCTACAGAGAATGAATATAAATAACGTGGTAGTCCCATTCACCTTGTCCAGGATTCGTTTAGGGAAGAGCTGAGGATGCAGTTTTGACTTTTAGAAGATAAAAAATAGTCTGCTGGGAGCCCAATAAAATGAGATACAGGAATGACACAGTTCTACCCCTGAACTATTGTTGCGAGCCTGTGACACTTGCAGTTGCTGCAGCTGTTGTAACCTGAGACAAGCTGACCTACAGAGAGGAAAGAAATGCTGAGGTCGGTGCTGTAGGAATATCGAAAGAATCTGGATCCTCAGAGACATAGCTGAGAGTCTGATTTGACAAACCCTGGCTGACCTCAGCTGAGGTGATGTTTTCAGTTGCCTGCACCAGAAAGCATCATGACAGTTACTATTTCTCCTGTGAACCCCTTCAGGATAGAGCCCAAATCTTAGGCATCATTGTTGCCTTAGTACCTAGCACAGTGTTGGGCACACAGTAAATGCTTGGTTGCTAAAAGTCGGGATGGCAGCAGAGCAAAGTTCTGGGAACTGAAGTAAAAACTCTTCATATGTAGATATGACTTGCTTTATTTAAACCCAGTTCATCAGCATCTGGATTTACCATTTTACAATTATGATAAGTCAAAGATTTCTCAATTTACAAAAAAACGTATCTTTACTATGTTCCCTAGCATTTAAAATATATTTTCTTTTTTTTTTTTTTTTTTTT